GCACTGGAGGCCAAGGCGGAGGACGCCTCAAGTCAGGAGTTTGATAAACCAGCCTGAGCCTAAGAGTGCGACCCGTCTCTACAAAATAGGAAAGGAAATTAATGGCCAAAACTAATCTATAGAGGAAAAAATAGCTGGCATGGGGTGGCGCCATGCCTGTAGTTCCCAGCTATTGGGAGCTGAGGCAGGAGGAGGTCGCTTGAGCCAAAGCAGTCTGAGGTTTGTGTGAGCTAGGCTGACGCACGCACTTACTCTAAACCTGGGCAACAAAGCAAGACTCGTCTCAAAAAAAATAAAAAAAATAAGGACAGTAGAAAAAAAGAAGTGAGTGAACAGTAAGAAGAAGACGATTTCGAGGTGAAGAGATATGCAGATGCAAGATAAGACAACACGAAAGATGTTAAAAAAATCATTAGCATCAGGAAAAGCAAATTAAAGCACAGTAGAGAGGGAGATGATGCACACGAGAGATACAGTTTATGGCGAGAAGACGAAGAGGTTTGAAGAGGACATGACAGCTGATCTATATATCAAATAAGCTGCGCAAGGTTGCAAGGAAAGACTTGATCATCACGCGATAATGGAGAATATAGAATGAATGGGTACAGTCCATTCTCCTAGGCATAGAAGGGATGATTCCATACTGGCAGATCGTTCAAGAAGCAAAAGAAGAATACCAGAAAAGAAAAAAATTATCATAATCCTAAGGCATGCAACGTGATACTGACATATATCACAACCCAGCAATTGCACGACCGTCGGGTTGGGGCAGTTGGGAACTGTTACCAAATCAAAGAACTCCCAGAGAAAACAGAACGAGAGAGCATAAATCCTTACAGAACTGGGTGTCATGGAAGCTTTATTCATAATAGCCAAGAACTAGAAACCACCCATATGTCCTAATAACATGTGTGACAGTTAGTCAACTGAGGTGGCTACGTGTTCTCTGTACTCTTCCGGAGTGAGCGATATACCATGGGGTATAATATAGTACGCCAGCAATAAAAGGAAGTCCGAGTTACCAGAGAAATGTATATAGGCGCAGCTCGGGAACAATCTTTCCAGGTGTATAAAAGCAGATACATCAAATGTTAACAATTGAACAGCTATAGATTCACTCTCTATAGAAATCTGTAAGCCATAAAGGAAGTCGAAGACACGCAGAAAAAAAAATAGAAAATAAATAAAGACTTAGCAATCACGAAAGATCAGACTGTGATATTGTCGAGGTTCTTCCAAGGTTTTGACAGGGCACCAGACTGCCGGACGTTTATTTGAATGTACAGACCAGGAGATCCTGCGTTGATCTTCGTGTCTGCGTGACGAGAAAGCTGTTAGGTTAAAAGGCGTATGTCTGCACCTGAGGATGGACTCCTTTTTGAGAAAATAAGATGAAAAAAATTACGCATGTTTACATATCCAGTAGCTAGGCGCAAGACAAAAAAAAAGAAGGAAAAAAGAGAAAATAAATTAAGCAGATCTTTTCACCACGGTAGATTCAGCGCTCGTAGTCGGAAGAGTGAGTGTCTACCTTTAGATACCCAGCTCATTAAAGCATTTATCAGGTGAGCATCGCGCAGGTGAGAGATATTAAATTCCTGATGGGAGAAAGAGTCTTTTGCCTGATGACTCTGAGTAGAGTGGGGGACCAGGGATGAATAACAGATAGAAGCAAGCATAGAGAGGAGTGGAAGTTATCTAGCATCATGCATTGCTTCTTTTCTATTCCTTTGAAGATCGTCCTAGTGGATTACTCTAATGTTCTATATTGCACAGAGTCGTATTTAAAAAGTTCCTTCGATGCTGTATAGGTCAGGCTCTCTGTGTGTTTCTGGGGAATTAAATATCATTAAAGAGTAAGGTTTAGGAATGACGCGATGAATTCTCCGGTGCTCATGGATGGCTCGAGCGGTGGGAGGCAGGCGAGGCCAGACAGTCCGCTGCCGTGCGGCACCCTCCCTAGGGAGGACATCCGAGATGATAGGACAAAACACAGAGGCACCTGCAGGGTGTTCACTGCAAGGAGAGGAGAGTGGAGAGCCGCGCGGTGTGTAGAAATAAGAACGAGTGGACTGAACGCGATAGAAGACCCAGGAGAGACAATTAAAACTGCAGAAAGAAAGGGAAAGCCAGGCGCAGGGGCTCACGCCTGTGATCTAGCCACTCTGGGAGCGTACGAGCGTGGTAAGATCGCTCGGAGTCAAGGAGTTCGAACCAGCTTGCCAAGAGCAAAGACCCTTGTCTCTACTAAAAAGAGAAAGAATTAATGGCAACTAAAAATTATATAGAAAAAATGAGTCGGCATGTGGCGCATGCCTGTGGGAGGCGCAGGGTACTCGGGAGGTGAGAGGAGGATCACTGAGCCCAGAATTGAGGGCGGGGAGCGGAGGACGCCACACGGAAGTATCCTTGTAGCCTCGGGCGAACGGTGATGATTCATGCTCATAAAAATAAAAAAAAATCTATTTTTGGTATCGCCGGAGTCTCTATATCGCGTTCCATGTTCGCTCGTCTAGCATATCTCAGTTGCGCACTGCGATGTCCTGTCTCTCAGAAGCGACTTCCGGATGAGAGTACCCCCATTCTGTTTATCCTCTCCTGTTCTGGTGCATATCGTGACATGTACTGAGATGTTCAGTCCCTCCAAATAGTTTGACATTTATGCTTGAATATCCTAACTTCCAAGTTTGTAATGTTCACTACGAGAGTGGTGGGGCAGTGATTTCTTGCTGGTTTTTTTCGTGTCTGGATTTTCATCTCATTTTTTTTTTGAGGCGATGCAACTCGATGGTGTGTGGCATCAGCCGCGGTAATGGATATGGATAGTGCGCCCTATTATTCGCCTTATGTATAACTAAGACTCGCTTCTCGTCGCTCCGCCTACGCCAGGATTGACGCCAAGACCTTGGCTTGTCTGCAGATAGATACCTCAGGGATGAGAACCTCTCAGGACGCTGGATCTTGGTACACCTTGACCCTTGATAGTTGGTTTGTACCGACTCACCAGGCCTCAAGGTGACCTAGAGGAACTAGAATAGAGCGATCTGTGCTAAGAACAGCTACAGTCTACGAGTATATGTGTTACAGCATAATGAGTTATATGAACGATCGGCTCCCTACATCAGTGGAAGATGCGAACCGATGTACCTCTTTCTGTGTAGTACATCCAGCCCCAAGCACCAAGCAGAAGCAGGATGATCCAACTCTTGTATGATGCACTTTTTTAGCCTATTGTTGGGGGGGTTTGCGGGTATAGGTAGGCATAGTGTAGTACGTGACGTGAGAGCTAAACAGCCTGGTGCAACGTCTTGCTTCCATCTTCTAATTGCTTTTAGATGACGTCTATGAAGGGATCCATTTCCTTGCGCGTGGGATGGTGTATCTATCCTTACAGTGTGTTACATGTGAGATATTTCAGAATCAAGCTGAGTGATGGTTAATGATTGTTTTATAATTATCTTCTAGAAGACCTTTGTGCAACACGAGAATGACTCAATAAATGCATCTTAAGAGTTTTTAATGGTTGCATGATTCAATCCAGCATAGCGATCACAGAGAGATATGAGATC